AGATGGAAATGTGGTCCGTGGGGCCGTGTCTTCAGTTTTTAAGCTTGTATCAAATCTAGCTGGGCATATAAATTCGGGATACATGATGACCGGATAGAGAATGTCATCCGGATCATCCGGCCGAGAGAAATCGGAGGATGCCTTCAACTAAGTTAAGCATTAGATAAACCAATCATACAGCAGACATGTACTAAGCATTGATATCGCTATCATTTACTAGTAGTCTCATTTGCAACAGACTTTTGTCGTCTATCAGTAACTACTAATGCAGTATGACAGCAATCTTAGAATTAAAGCAAAGAAGCTTGATTTAATAAGATATGCCCTCTCTTGTGCTGATTGCTTTCCTGGCCATGCTAACACAATATTCGCAGCATCGAGTCATCCAATCTGAAATACTGGAACGCAATAGAAGTTCACCTTCAGCAAGCAGCCTACTCAGTTGATCCTGTATCCCCCGTCGACAACGAGAGCAGCGCCTTGAACAAATGTTGCTTTGCTGCTGCATAAGAATAGAACGCAGTCAGCCACCTCATCCACGGTGCCCACTCTGTTTGCATCAGCGACGTGCTATTTAAACAATACTTATATTCATACAACACACCTGTTCATCGGGGCGATGCTGATTGCAGGTCGGAAATAGTCAATCGAGTCATTAACCATCCTGGTTCCGATAAGACCGGGACAAACGCAATTTACTGCAGGCAGAGTGAGCTCGGGGTCTTGAGTGCCTTTCGTCTGTCTAACCTCTGATGTTGTCCTTGGAATACTGCAAGTTGTTAGTCATACTTCTGCAATCTTCAGTCGGGAAACTTACATCTATTGCGTCTGACCGCGTCATGTTAATGACTGCTGCTTTTGCAGCGCAATACGCAGCTTGGGAACAGTTAGCTGGACCCGAAAGATGTTTGCTTGCGTATACATACGAGCCGTCGGTCTTGCAACAATGCCCAGTTGACTTGCGATATTGACAATCGAGCTGTTGCTGTCAGTGCTGCAGTAGAATCCAGCCAGTGTACCACGCATACCCTCTGTTACCAGGTCGTCCATCATGAGTAGGTAGAGGCTCCTGTTGGACCATGTGCTTCAACTCCTCTCTCGAGCAGAGCCAGCAACCACGATAATCGACCTGTGTGATCTGGTCGAACTCTTCTATGCTCATTTCATGTGACCGTCTGGCACCACCCAGTACGCCGGCAGCATTGACAGCATAGTCGACGCGTCCGAATTTTGCAATGGTCTCATCCAGCATCCGCGCGACATCATCGGCCTTTGACACATCAACCACACAGGAGAGAATTTCTACTTGCTTAAAGGCAGACTTTATTTGATCATATGTCTCCTGTAGGCCTGCCTGATTGAAATCAGCGATTGTTATTCGCAAGCATCCTTCCCTTGCAAACGCATATGCGATACCTCTGCCGATGCCTATCTCTTGCGGTAAGCCAAGACAACAAAAGATCGTTGGAATTCGGACTCACCAGAGGCAGCGCCAGTTACCAAGGCTACACCCGGATAGAGCGTCTTGTCGGCCATGAAATCTTAAGAAAAATTGGAGGGTTAGTAGAATATTCTTTTGCAAAAACACCACTATCGTAGTTTAATTGACGTGGAGGATGTAATAGTAGTGCTTGTTTCTTGCATTGATATTATTAATATTAAATTCCCCGCGGGCGATCAACGTCAACGGTAGACAAGAGTCTAGTTTGCTCCATTATTTTGGTTTGACCGCTTCCTATGAACGCCATCAGCGACTTAGTAATGCTGAATTTAGAGGAACCGCGACAAACATCAAAAAAAGACATATAGAGCCCTCTTTCGTATTTCCATCATGGAAGTAGAACGCGACAACTCCCAAAATAACGTATGTCGACGCATATCAAGTCGTGCAGTCAATCCAATGAGTGGCATTTCTGATTGCCGAAACAACACCCGTCGTTATCTTATCGCCCACAGCTAGGGATAGACATGCCTATCTAGGTAGGTAACAAGAGAAGCACTAGCAAAACTATGTGGAAAGCATTCTATCTGAGATAACGGTCGATAAGACTCATTTCGGCAATCGATCGGTATGTACGGAGTAGAGCACTCATTACATTGATGCAAAGAGTGGGTAGAACTTTATTCTTCATCTTGTCGATAGGCAGTGATTCGAGAAATCATATATTCATCTCTCTTGCAAATTTATTGAATCTTCATCTTTCTTTGGTTCTCATCATATAATTTGCGCCGTGCTTGCGTTCAGCACCTGTAAAGATGACATCCGAGAAAGTGTTCAGCGGCAAGCCGCCCTCTTCGGACAATGTCGACGGCTCGACTGATTCAGAACAAGCCATACAAGGCACAATAGAGGATCATGAAGTATTTAAAAAGACTGGAGATGGAGTCGACTTTCGCACAGTCGGCTGGTTCAAGGGATGCATCATATTCATCAAGGTGATGTTTGCAGTCGGTGTGCTGTCGCTGCCATCCACGATGTATGCGCTCGGGTCTGTTGGTGGCTCGCTGAGCATTATCGCCTGGGGCGCGTTCAACACCTATGCATCCATTATCCTGGGCGAATTCCGCACGAAGCATCCTGGCTGTCATTCTATCGCCGATATGGCCGAGGTCGTCGGAGGGACGATTCTCAAAGAAGTCACCGGCTTTCTCTTCATCGTCGCCTATGTCCTCTGCGCTGGAGCTGGCATCATTGGGGTTGCAACCGGCCTTAACGTGCTCTCGCACCATGCGGCCTGTACAGTCTGGTGGGCATTTCTCGCTACTATCGTCTGTGCGCTTACTGCGTCTGTTCGCAAGCTGGAACACGTCGGCTGGCTGACATATGCCGGGTTTGCCTCCATCTACGTTGCCGTCCTGATAGTCGTCGTCGGGGTCACACAACTTGATCGACCTGCTGCCGCCCCGCAAGAGGGACCGTATGACCTGGGCTATCATGCCATTGCCAACCCAGGCTTTGCAGCTGGTATGGTGGCCTCCAGTACGATATTCTACTCGTCTGCGGGAACCAGTGCCTTTCTGCCCGTGATCAGCGAAATGCGCAACCCGAAGGATTACAAAAAAGCTCTCTACCTGTGCATGAGCATTGTTACTGGCTCATACCTTTGTTTCAGCTTGGTAGTTTATCGTTGGTGTGGGAAATGGGTCGCAAGTCCTTCACTTGGTGTACGTCTTCCATAAAAAAGGGCAAAAAAAAAAGACCGGAGGATATCACGAGCTAATATATTGCAGAGTGCTGGACAAACAGTCAAGATGGTAGCATACGGCATTTCATTGCTAGGTCTCATCGTTAGCGCATGTATTTACCTTCATGTATGCTCCCCTGCCCTGTCGATTGATATGGCTAATTTTGTATCAAGGTATCTGCGAAATATATCTTCGTCCGCATCCTTCGGAACTCTCGACATCTCCAATCGAACACTCCCATACATTGGATTACTTGGATTGGCTGCACCCTGGGCCTTTCATCTATTTCCTTCATCTTTGCCGAGGCGATCCCTATCTTCAATTACCTCAACGCTCTCACCGGTTCCATCTGCTTCGCACCTCTTGGGATGATGCTTCCCGGTTGGTTTTGGCTCTACGACCATAGTCATTATCGTGAGGGAACACATCTACAAACGCTGTACTATTGGTTGCATTGGGGGATGATCTTACTCGGCGCTTTCTTCCTGGTCGGGGCGACTTACGGGGTGGTGCTCGAGATCAATGACGCTTATGCAAATGGAATTATCGGTATGGTGTGTCATGGAAAATGTGAAGACCATTTAACTAACCGAGTGCGTAGGCTCTGCTTTTTCCTGCGCCGACAACTCTAATTCTTCTTGAAGACGATATTGATCCTGATTTACTATGTTTTTGTATATATCGGGAGGATTCAGCGTTTTATTCGAAAGATGCTGTTTTGATAGACTTGTATAAAACTTCTGCCACAAAGTATATATAATGGAAGAGGGAACAGATATTAGTCCTTTTGTGAACTTCTTGCACATACCATTACCTCTACCTGAACTTTTCCCGGTGAAGTATCTTTGATATGCACATGAGTACTATTAGCCTTCCTGCTGCATGATAGAAGTTCAATATTGGATCGAGAAAACATCCGGGCCAAACCGGATGAATCGAACAGTTTCGGCCTGTTGTACCCCATGAGGATCTGAAGTTGCTGTAATATGGACATGATCACCTGTTTATCAGGCTGGGCTGCAGGCCCTGAGAAAAATGACTCTTTGCTTTATACGAGTGGTCTCCTTTGTCGTGCTAATACTGGGAAACAGGACTCCACAGTGCGACTTGATGCAAATCTGGCGAGCTTGCCAGAAAATTAGACAGTCGCAAGAATCGTCAGATATAGTAAGCTGCCATCGTCCGAGGAGACAATTGGAGCCTAGATGGCATTCTATGCAGTGCACGAGAAGCCGCAGATTTCACCTTCAACGTCCTTGAGCTCACTGTTGGAAGAGCGCTCTTGTTGCCCGCAAGGACCGTGTTTCAGCCAGAACATGGAGGGCCCTTGGTATGATTTTCCATCCAGTACCGTTCATACTGACTGATATCGTCATCTATACCCCCAATGGTTCTGTAAGTGACAAAATAACGCCGATTGATTTCCACACAGATCGCACGTGCCGCCTTTTGCTCGATACGGGAAATCTTTCGTAGACGCGCTTCCCACTCCCTCTGCACCCTCCGGCTCTCATTCTCCGACTTCAAACAGTGATATTCAAAGTATGAGTAATCACTGTCAGACGGATGGCGCTCCCAGAGCCGGAGGAACCACTCAGGTCCATGCCTTAGGATATACCAACTGAGCCAGGATTCGCCATTGAACACGTTATTTTTAAAAATGTGTGTATCACACCACTCTGAACCCATTATTCTGAAGTGAGGCGAGGTGGTTATTGAGCTCCACAGCAGGTAAAAGCTCCTCAGCTCATAATCCGACAACGACTTGACAAACTCGATGCGAGCAGACAGCACCTGGCGCTCGCGCGCCTTCGTTGCAGCCACCTGTCGTCGGGTCCGCACGCAGGAAAGTCGCAAAATCCACGACTTCGCTTGATGATCGGGTCCGTCTCTGGTGGCCACTTCGTCAATCTCGGCAGCGATGTCTGCGAAGTGATATAACAAACACCACCCGTCTTCGATACGTTGACGAAACGGCGCAGACCCCGGATCATCAACGAGCATTGGATAGTTCATGTAAGGCGTCCAGTCGAGACCAAACCGCAACTCCGTTACCTGCCGAACCACTTGCTGGCGATGGTACAATTTGGCGAGCCCTTTGAAACTGGTCTGGTCCGATCTCTGCGCATCACGGAGGAACAAGAGGCGATTGAGGGAGCTTCGCTGGATCGCGGCAGCACAGATGGCCGCCTCGTCCGACTCGAGCAGAGACTTTGTCATGCGGTCCACGAGGCGGAGATTCAGCAGCGTTGCTATGTCACAGTACGAGGCCGCGTTCAAGAGAATGACTCGGGAATGCTGGGGCGAAAACATGGTCGGAGAATGGCCAGAAAATTGGCGGCATGCCATCATGAGACATCGGAGAGGGGGTTGTTTTGGGCTGTGGGTTCTACCATTTCCAAATGGCGCACCACATCAGTTGCCATGCCATGACAGAAGCGCTGGAAGAGCTGACTGCGGAGGCGATGGAGCTGAGCTGTAGACATGCACTCTGTATTATTTTAACAACCGGGGTTATTCCGGATAGCGCCAATCAGGATAATCTTAATTTTAGGCCAACAGAGTCCTCCGCCCCATCTCTCCTGGCGCGGGGGCAAAAAGCGTTAGTGGGCTGGGATTCTCCAAGTTGGAACAATCGAGACGTTCTTCCGGGCCAGGAGGCTGTATGTCATGTTTTTCCTTATCTTCTGATTGGTTCTCAGTCTGATGGCTCGTTAAGCTTCGCACAGATCTATTCTATTGTAGAGTTATCCAACAGTTTCATGAAATTGATATCTACGGTTGGCGGAAGTCACATGTCAAACGGGCATGTTTTTTCTTATTTTTTTTAGCTGTTCTTTCATGCCCTGGGTTTACATGGGGGGAAACAAATCCGTAGAGGGGGAAAAAAAATAATGACATCAAAAAAAAATGATACGTAGGGTTCAATGCATCTCTGGATTGCACGAATGAATGCTTCACGAGTACAACCGTCGAAGCTGGGCAATGTCGCCGTCCGATGGAACCCTGTTTCCCCTCCACGTATCGCCATTCATTTTAGTCATGACGTTCTGCCTGGGTCCAACTCCCATAAGCTTTTTCCCTCCAAAGTTGCTCCCGTACAGCATGATCGAGGACCAGTCAATAGCATCTCCATCTGAAAGGGCGGGGTAGTCCTCAGCGAAGGGCAAGACATCATATGCAGTGAAACCGGCGCGACTTGCTGCAAACTGGTTGGTACACAAAACGTCCATATAGTCCTTGTACGTTTCTGAGTTGGCAAACTTGTCGTAATCGGCGAGATTTATGCAGTTGACGCGGATAAAATTCCTCGCTGTCGGCTTCTGATGTTCATGGTAGAGTCCGAGCGCATGGCCGATTTCATGTGCCAGGTTGACAGCCATGTCGTTTGTGCCCACTTTGGCCGACAGGTCAATAGTCATTGTTTGGCTGGAATCTTTGAAACCGACCGTGGTCGCCAACTTCTTGTTGGTGTTCGAAGAGACAATCAGGGTTGTTCTTTTGTTCGCGGTGGCACAATCCACCTCGCGGCGTTGAACAGGAAATCCCGGCTTGGACTCCCAGATTGCCCATCCAGCGTCGAAGAGCGGTTTGATCGATGGATCCTGAAAGCAATAGACGAGCGTGTTGCCAGGCCATGGTTTTAGGGCAGGCCCCTCCCTTGTGACGGAATAGCCTCGAGCCCCTAATCCACGTTCTTCAAGGGGAGCGGCATGAGTGACAGAAAGGAAGCAAAGAAGGACATAGAGAGAGATTAAGATCGTGAACGCATGGAGGAGCGTCATCTTGGGCTGCTTCTCACAGTAGGTCGAAAGAATCTACAATATCATCTCTCTACCTAATCATTAGGTCGCGTGGATATATACCAGAAACCGAGAACAGCGACTCAATGGGGGCAGTCTTGAACCCAACAACACCCCCAATCTTCCAACAGCAGGATCAGAATGTGCTCCACTTCGGTCCTCAGGCGACGCGAATGTTGGATGTTGGTTGTTTTCTAGAACATCACAGTGGATAATTAAGTCTAATACAGCTCGCCAGCCGACCCACCACAACCGAGTCCAGGCCGATCTGTTGGGGGCGGCTTCAAGGAATAGCTGAAGACGAGGCAAGCAAGGATAATGGTATTGATTGAGATCGTCGTTTCTGTTGTCCAACTAGTCTCCTGATACCTCTTCTGCCAGAGATAAAATGGCAAGATAATATGTCAAGAGCAAGATCAATCTCTCTACGATTTGTGTTCACGCGGGTTTCCAGACATCTTCGGCCAAGCGCGAAGAACAGCCATGGCCTGGCAAAAGAACATCCTTCCTCTTTTGATGCTGTTGCATCTGTCGACTTTTGCTTTCGGATTTGACTTGCGCCACGCCCCTCGTTATGCGAACTCGTCGTCTGCAATTTCGTTTTCACGAAGCAGTCGCTCCAGCACGTCGCCTGTGTATCATAGCAGCCGGTCTGCTGCAACGACGTTGTCAAGCGTGCCTGTTCCTTCCTCGGCTCATTCCTCCTCGACCGGCCCTAGCCGCTCGATCAAGAGCTCAGCAGCTGCAGGACAGTCAAAATATACGCCTTCGTCCTCTTCCAAAACAGTCCACGATGTCTCGAAAAGCACTCCTCAGAGTCATACATCAGGAGCCAGTCGAGAAACTATCCCAGGAACTATTCGAGAAACTACTTCAAAAGCCACTACAGGAACGACCTCAGAAATTACTCCAGGAACAACTGCAGAAACCACGTCATCTTCCGCGGCAATCATCGCAGCTTCTTTGACCAGCACAATTACCTCACCACCCTCCGGGTTCTCGACTGTTTATGTGACGAATAGTCAATGGACGGCCAATACACTGGTGACCACTACCGACGCGCATGGACAGCACACTATCGTCCCGGTCCTCTGGCATCACGGAGGCGGGATCGAACTCTGGGGATTGCCAAAGCTTCCTAAGGTTGCTTTTAAATTACCAGGACTTCCTGAGTTCTGCCTGTTTTCCTGTGGCTCCGGTTCAGAACCGGGAGTTCCTGTAGTTGAGGGAGGTGGTAATCCCGACGACAGCGAGCCCAAGAACAGCGAACCCCATAACAGCGAGCCAACTACCGAGGAGTCATCGACCAAAACGACCTCTCACACCTCCAGCACAACATCCACTTCATGTTCTCAACATGCGGTGACAGATACTTATGTATCTTGCACCACCGCTACGAGTGGAGTTTCGACAATATGCAAAACCTCCTACTCGACCATCACGGGGTGTTCCGTAACAGGCACTGCGACAACCACGTTTGCATCTTGTTCTTCCGGGGGCACGGCCAGTGGCTGTCCAACTCTAGAGACAGATCCGCTCACGGAAATCGATATGCTTTGGGCCGATGATGACGAGGACATCACTACGCCTGCATCGACAACCTCTAGAAGTTCAGAAACCACTACTCGACAGCAGTCGAGCAGTTCAACCTTGTCGCATTCCCAGCACAGCGGTTCAAGCTCCCCTGCTGCTTCGCCGCGACTCACAACTGCGAGCAAGACCACGACTACGCATGTAACATCAAAGGCTTCTACCTCGACACACGCAGCATCTTCAACACACATGCAATCATCGACACACTCACAATCTTCAACACACACGGAATCTTCAAAACACACAGAAGTCTCGACACACACGGAATCTCCGACACTAACAGATCATCCAACGCACACAATAACAACAACCCATCACTCATATACATACACAAATTTAGTGGATGGTAATATCTACGCTTGTGAGAGCTCCTCTGTTGGAAATGGTGATGGTTTCCCATATACCGTGTGTGAGGGATCCAGCACCAAAGTCGGAACAGACACTGCATTTCCAAAACCAACTCCCTCCTACCAAGATGGTACTTGCCGTTTGCACATTATCGAGGCTTCGGAAAGTGCATACGAGACTTTCTTTGCCGGGCTTTATGTCTATGACGGGGGCAACAAACAGCTCAAAAACCAGACCTGGCAGAAGAGGAACTGGGGAGACACACTCACCATTCGCTCCACAGACAGCAAACTGCCCTATGATGTTTCCGCCACGTTTGTAAAGGGAGAATATGTCACTATTGGAAAAGAAAAAAGGGTGGCACCACCGCCCATTAAGCCAGGAATTATGGCCTTTGAAAAGTGGCCGATCGATATCGCGTACGGCCCGACCAAATGGAGTTCCTCTGATCAAGATGAGAGTAAACTTCCTAACTGTCAGGTTGGTGGCTGGGACAATGGTAACTTTGTAGATTGGCTTGAAGCGGTGGAGACCTTTGGTATGGTGCAACAAGTACCGGTAAGTGTCCCAGTTGCCATGAAATGTGAATTCGAGCGTACTGATGATTATGCCTTCTTAGAATCGACAGATGGACTGCCATTTTCGCTGTTAAAACCATCTGTCAATGTGCATTCTGTCACTATACAGTATTGTTGGAAAGATGGAAATATATAGAGAGGATTTGTACATGAAAATATATCTCAATTACTACTCTTACATTTCTAAACTTCTATTCCCAATCGTGCTAAATGATTCTCCCATAGAAATACGAGACAGACGAGACGCTCGGTGTTCCTCGTTCTCAACATTATTCTAAGCTTGTGTATGTAGATGTGTAGAGAAGTGCGACCTCGTCCTAAATTTTTGAAACTGTCAGAACGCACAAGGTCCTTGCTCAAGCATGGGGCTCACCTCGACAGCTGACAGCATGGGGCCAGCAAAGAAGGTCAGCATAGTCTATTCCTACGAGGTCAAGGGCCCCAGGTATGCCAAACTTCCATTGCATGCCATTATATATATACGACAAGACTTGGGTGTTGAGAGCATGGATATTCGCAGCCATAGCGGAGGACAGCAAGAAGGTCCGGAGCATCAGATGCCAGAACACCTAGAAGAATGAAATCAAGTTGATCGCCAAATACTCACACTAATGCATGCCTGAATCACCGATGCGCTTGGTAAAGATTTCGTTCTCACTCACCTCGGGGCAATGCCTCCGTAGCATTACCGAGTGGGATGACTCGCGCTTTCCAATATGGTTTTCGGTCTTAGTTTCTCGGTTTCTACTCCGGATTTTTCTCTGCGTACTCTGCGTTGGCTAAATAATGAACCGACGCGATTTTAGCGCGAGATGGGTCTGGTCGGACTTGCCATTTCTTTTTTTTTTTTACTTTTTATATTTATTTCCATCCAGGAATTCGGGCTCTGCGATAGAAATGGCGTCCAGACAGAACTCTGTTCCATATGTCTTTAAGAATTACGAATAGAAGGCACTTGATAGCAGTGATTGAGAGTAATAGACAGGTAGTCGCGATGCGGGGAACGGCATCATACTAAGAATCCTTAGATTGATTAGATCAGAAATGCAATTGTGGGTACGTTACTCGTCATCTGCACTATGATGGCGAAAATGCATACTAAAAAGAAATTCATGACAAGTATTCTGTATATAATGGTAGTACATCTAGGTAGTATGTAGTTGTATCGTACGACTGTTCGTACATCTCTAGCAGAGGTTATGTAGCGAAGAGACAGTCAACTATGGCAAGAAGCATCCTTTCCACAAATCAGGAGAATCACGGAATGATTGCAACTCTCCATCGATGGTACCGTGGAACATTATATCAAGCCGTCATTCTTGGTCTCGTGAGCTTTACTCAGCCAGGCATTTGGGATGCATTAAACAGTAAGTCCACCAGAGAGAGCACATAACCCAAATTACGAAATCACAGAAACGTCTGAGAATCGATGGTCAGGTCTTGGTGCCGGCGGTCTTGCAACGCCATACTTTGTCAACGCCTCCAATGCCATTACTTATGTGATTATGATCGTCACATGCCCGCTCTTTGCGATCGCCGGTAACCGCTTCTCCAATCTGAAATGGGTTCTCGTTTCTGGAACGATAGGCTATGTTCCATATTTTGCAGCGTTGTACTGCAATAGTGTCTATGGCACGGAGTGGTTTTTGCTATTCGGGGCCGTCACTTGTGGATTTTCAGTAGGTGTCCCCAGCATGCCATCTTTTGATTCATTATCATTCTTATTGCTATGAAGATATGCTAATATATACTTATCTTTTCAGGCAGCTGCCCTGTGGGTTTCCGAAGCTGCAATAGCTGTTGGCTACCCAGAGCCCGATAGGAGTGGAACGTACAGTAAGTTCAATGAGAAACCTGAGGGAAAAAATAGTTTTGATTGACGTTTCAAGTCGCCATCTGGCAGGCTCTAAATAAAATAGGATCAATTATTGGCAATTCGGTCCAGTTCGCATTGAATGTCGGTGACTCCAAGCAGGGAAGTATTAGTCCAAATACATATCTCGTAATGATCGGACTTTCATGCGCAGGACTTCCTCTGGCGTTGACCATCTCTCCACCCCAGGGACTCATTCGAAAAGATGGGAAACAGCCTACGTTCAGTTCAGAAAAGGAGGTTTCGCTACTGGGAGGTCTCCGCAATATCTGGAAGGCGTTGAAAAAGAGACACATTCTCCTCTTGCTGCCGATCTTCACTACCGTTCGCTGGAGCGGGACATACCAAGGGATGTACTTGACCACGTATTTTTCCGTGAGAGGCAGAGCTCTAGCTGGATTTGTCTCAACACTCTGTGGAACAACAGCGACTGTCCTGTGGGGTTGGTTGTTAGACTCAAAGAGGATCTTCCGGACAAGATGGGCGCTTGCAAATGCAGGGTGGTGGACCATGTTGGCTGTTTACACAGCACAGTGGATTTATAACTTCATTCTCCAAGTCGAGATGCAGAACACTCATCCAAATCCTGTGTTAGACATCACGAGTCCCGGCTATGCCAGGGCAATGGCCGTATACTGTCTTTACAGGTAAGTCGCAGTCTGCAAACACATCTCATCCATGGCACTTATCAGTATCTAATGAGTCACAGTATCGGAAGCAACGCCTCCGTCGTCTGGACATACTGGATTTTGGGTACCTACGACAGTCATGTAGATACATTGGCTTATACCACGGCTCTGCTTCGCTCTGCTGAGAGCCTTGGCTTTGCGATCGCATATGGAATTGGGTCGAGCAGCCGTACATCTCTGATGACCAACTTGGTGGTTTCATTTGTCGTCTTCTGGATAAGTGTACCCTGCACGACCTATGTGGCATGGAAGGTCCAGGAAGGAAATCCGGCAGATGACAAGAGTACATCATACTAGGGGGAAAACTGGCAGCACAGTTTGGGTTACAGGTAGCCAATTTAGATTATGCCTCTCCAAAATAGAATTTTATGTATTCTACAAGACGGCAAGCGGGGCGCGGGAAACGGCCGTCGCCCACACCGCCTGCCATCTCGGGAAATTTGATTTCCCGAAGAGGCTAAGCGGACGGCATTACGGCCTGTTCGGGGATGGCTCCGGGCCTCGCCGCTTTTGACCGCCCTGGCAGAATCCACCCATGTATATAAACCCGCGGTGCGTCCCTCGAGGACGAGCATCCTCGATCTTCTCTTCTTGTCACTGCGCTGAGCCTGGCCGGTCGCTGCCGTGCAATCCGACGATTGCCCCCGACCCCGGTGAGGCGCGAACTTTCGAACGCGGGCTACGGAGTCGCCGTCGGGGAAGCGGAATGGATCTCCAACGAGGCGATTCCCCGGCTGGTTTTGTTGGACGCTGTTATCTCCCCTCCCTTGCTCTTGGCAGCTGAGTACATCACTGTTATGTCGATTTTTCCGTGGGATTCTCTGCTTAGGTCCTCATTCTCTCCTGGGACTCGGCTGCCCATTCAAGTTTGAAATTGTCGGTCGTGATTAAAAGCTGTTGGGTATACTTTTTCTCTTCGAATATTGCCTTCTTCAGTTTATTGTTCGCTTCAGTCTGAATGCCTTAGGTGCTGGATGCTGTCCTGAACGTGGCTGAGACAAGCTGGGGGTGTGTTGGCGGCAAGTCCCCACCAACCATGCTAACCCTGCAAGCTGACCTTGCGGTCCTACGCTCACAGCGTTCGTCCCATCCCCAAGCGTCTGTGAATGTTACGTTCGGTTTATCTGGCAGCCAATGGAGAAAATGCCGCACTCGCCGTCGTCTCAGCCTCTTCGCTCAAGCGGCTGGTCTCGAACTTGTGACGATACTCGGCAACGGATTCCTCGCTGGTCATTCGCCCTGTTTTTGACAGACGCGGCATAACCATCATGACAAGGTGCAGCGTATTGAGTCGTCGGCCCTCCAGTCTTACCTGAACTGCCGCATCAGATTTTATCTTTAGGATAGAGATCGGCGCTTGCTGGGATGGATTGATCCGCGAGGCTCGTATCAGACCGCTCGCCTATCTTGTCAGCCCTCTGTGGACATGTCAGCAGGTACGGACAAGGAGAAGATATGGCGTGAGATGGCACGGCGATAGGATCAGAGCCACCAAATGCGTTGGATAACCGAGCGGTGTTGCCGAATGCTGCTGCTTATGATGGAATTGGTCAGCGAATAACGGCATGACCGACACCAAGAATTTCTTCTTATGGCAAGCCGTCCATCCGGCGGATCTTAGTCACGGAGACGGACACGGAATGGAGACCTGACTTTCCCACTCCTACCTGCTAGGCGGAATGGTTTTAGGGAGTGGTGCAAAGGAGTCGTCTCTGCCCGACGCCATAACGGAAGAAAACGGGCAAATGGAGAGGTTCCCCTCCTCAGCCAGCGGGCCGGCTTCTTTGAAATCTCTTTATAAAAAGGAGACCAACGCCCTTGGAATTTTGATGCTGTCTTCCCCTTTTCAACTCATGTTCACGCATTGTCTCCATACCTTTCGTCCCACAAGATGCTCAGCACCAGATTTCATGTTGATACCTTCAGAACGTGGAACCCTCCTTGTAGCAAACCTCTTCCCTCGCAAAATTCCCCAGATCGTCCCAGATACCCAACCCCAAGCTCCATTGGCGATCTGCCCATCACTGCCCATTTAGCCCATCAACCTTCCCCACCCCCTTTTTTAGAGTCCCAAAAGCATCATCAACATCGGCATCCGCTTCCTGCACGTCCGCCAGTTGAGGTGTGTGTACATGTTGGTTCCCATTCAAATGCTCCACAAAACACTCGAAGCCGTCCAACAGACAGGGGTATTCCAAAATGCAATACACCGCAGCCGGGGATGGCCGGTGGATCCCTGGGCGGATCATGTTCCACCAGTTCCAGCAGGGACGATGTGAATTCGAAGTTACGAAGGCATTGCTCCAATCCCGGGAAACGATGTCAAACAGAGTACCGCCCTCACGAAAGTGATAGTTCCTCAGGTATGTTCATGATCTAGTTGGCAGTTTAATTTCCCTTGATTGACCAGAGCGCTAAATCAAAATGCTTCAGGCCGTAGAGGCAGGCGACAGCTCCATAGGCAGGAAGATCTCGCTCCCATCTCGCCACTGGCCTCTGAATCCAGTCCTTCTGTGTCATTGCTGCAAAGCAACAACTTTGGCACAGAACTACGTCACTCCCCTCCGGTTACGTTTCTTGGTGCTACTCCTGGTCCTGACCCGGTTAACACTGTGGGTCTAGACGATATTGAAGGTATTTTACCAGGGAGAATGATCTGTATATTTCGCGGGGCTCACTGATTACCTTAGGGTCGCAGTCGGGTCTTGAACAGATAACTGGCGTGGTTGAAATGTTCTCCGACGCTACTGCTATTCTTTATGACACATCAAGAGTGTCAGAAGAACACGATATAACCCGGTTGATCCAGCCATACTTTGCAGTGAAGACGCCGTGGAATCTGTCCATATTCAGCAGATCGTTTCAGATGACCGTCAAGTCACCAGCGAGGGCAAACAGACCGCCCGCCATTCTAGGCCAAGAAACCGAATTGGTTACAACACCGAAAGCGATAATCATGACTCTGATAAAGACCATGAAGAGGGCAGTGATAAGGAAGGATCGGAACCAGACGAGCGATCGAGCTATATAAGGGGATCGGAACAACGGCCCTCCAAGCGACGTCGAACCGATATTGCACCTCATGAGGATGAAAGATCTGTCCTAACCCTACGTTCCCATTTTCTGGCATCATCAGTCGAGGAGAGGTTAGAATTCCTTTCTTGGCTTTTTGAGAGTACCTTACCGCGTTGTATCTCTGAGTCTCCGAGTGCTGTCGATGTCTCATCGACAACCGGCAAGGTTGGAAGGGCAGAGGCGCAGTTAGCGCGTCGTCAGGCACGACCACATAAGACCTCACGGAATCTCAATGCCAAAAAGTTGCCTCAGGTCAACTCTCGAAAAGGCAAACCATGGTCACCTGAGGAAGTGAGCCTTCTGGTGAGATTGAGAAAGGATCAGAACCTACCGTGGTCCGAGGTTACGAAACAATTTACAGACCGATTTCCAGGCAGGACCCAAGGATCAATCCAAGTGTATTGGAGTACGAAACTGAAGAGCAATCACGAAGAGTCCTCGCCTCGTTAAAGGATGTCTCTATTCCCCTCCCCCCAACCAACATTATGTCAGACGTCGCACAGGAGGAGGATGAGGCTCTGAATCGGGCTATTATATAGGTCCGAACGGATAAGAGACTGATGATCTGCTTCCTCTGTGTTGGGGAGCCCAGCCCTTGCCAAGAAGGAACGCGTCCAGGCTTTCCCCGCCGCCGGATCTCTGAGCAGGCTTTTTCGATGATTCCACGTGGATCCTCCTTGGAAAGAGGGCAAGATGATCGGTTGTAATGTCTGCGAGGTGACTCTGGTGCGGAAGATGCATCTGCTGAACCATGCCGAATCCGTCCACGGAGCCGTTTCTCGAGTGCCCATGCAGCTACCCCCTGGAGATCAGGTCCTGTATGACGCCGTAGGCTCCAAGGAAAGAGTACGTGTACCTCTTCTACTGGCGTGATGATTTCCTTTATTGACTGTCTTAAGAAATAGACTCGTAGAGCTCCTATGTGCCCGCATTGGGGCCGGTGCCGGATTATTGCGTTTGAGGTCCTTCCTCCATCACATGTTTGCTTCGTACCAGATTGTCTCTTGTTACTTTTCTTCGACAAAGGGGCATTTTTGCGTCTTCTTTCTGTGTAGAGTCATATGCGATCTTCCAATTTCAGCGGCTATACCTTCGCCCTCAGTCATTGGTGCCCGGAAGCAAAGTAGCAGTCAGGCGCCACCAGACCGACCGTGCTGGTAGGAGGAAGAGTCGATCCGATTCTCCTCGTGACCATGATAGTGATGACTTCATCAACAACGATTATGTGGAGCAGGACGATGGGTTTACGTCACACCCTCTCTCCCAGTCGTTCCTTCAGCGCCAGGTATCTACCCTGGAGAATATCCTGTACTATCACCTTCCCTCTCTTCCCGCCTCTCTCCCCGCGCGGCCACGTCTACCAAAGTTGTCTCATCATACTCTCCTGTTCGAC